TTTTGGATTTGGATTTGGATTGTTAGGGTTTAACAATGTCTCGATGCTTTCCTTTTCCACCACCAGGGTATGTTCAGAGACAGAATAAGAAGAAGAAGAGTAGTAGTGATGTTGTTGTTGTTGTACCAGATGATACTGAAGCACATCTAATCGAATCGATTAAGGTTTGTTGAGCATCTAATAGCTGTGTCTTGCTTATGATGATTTTGCTCGACTACTTTGTTCGATTGGGAAAAAAAAAAATACCAATAGGAATGAATGAACATTGGGGATTTTTAATCCTGTTGTATTGTTTTGTTAAATCAATTATGTTAATTAATAATTCCAATCCAAACCAATTCTTGTTGTAAAAAATTATAGAAAAGTGAAATTTGTATATGAAGATTATGGTTGAGTTCGCGTCTTTTTTTATTTTTTTTGTTAGATTTGCTAGCTATGGGTGGGTCTGTTTGTTGTACTTCACAACTTAATGGAAGTTGTTTTTGTGATTGAACATGCCGATTCCAAATTAAGAAACTCGCTTTGGTTTTTGTTTGTTTTCTGAACTCAAAGAACTCCTTTTCTAAAATTCCCATATCTTCTTTCTGCAATCCAAATCACATGTGATAAATAGATATAAGTAACTCAGGGTTCTAGTTTGAAGGCCTTGAAATTTTCAGAATACTTGTATTTACTGTGTTGGTGTTAGTGTTTGAAAGTTGTAATCAATCTTCTTCTCTTTTTTTCCCCCTTTTTGGGATCTCTGTGATTTTTTTTTTCATCTTAGAAACAAGTTTTGCCAATAATTTAGTAGATGGGACAGTTGGATATGGGCCGCGGGTTTGTAGTTATAGAACTTTCTGAGCATGATTGGGGAAAGTGTTGATTAGAATATGTAGTAGCTGTGTTGTGAAAATGCACTTTTTGAAATCTAAGATGTTTTCTGGAGTTTAGGGGTCCTGCTGGTCTCATAATTCTATAAATGTGGAGTAAGGTTTGTGGTAGTATGAGGGTTTGGTTGTGCTGGATGATCTAATTGGATGTCATAGGTGTAGATATATTTTCCCACTGAGTATGGTACACATGCATTTGAGTTGTTGTTCGATAACATGGAGGTTCTTTGGGAAAGTTGGCTGGTAGAGTTCATGTAACTCTTAGCTGCACTTTTGTTATACAATGGTATCTAATATCTGATACAATTATAACATTTATCGGGAAGCATATATGTTTGGAAGTTTGGAGTTATAACTCTTGGTCAAAAATTATATTGGAAGGAAAAGTGATTCTTGATATATGTGAGTTATATATTTTTCAGCCCCTGCCATCTATGGTATCATTGTGTTGAGATGTTTTACTTTCATGAATCAAGTAATCTTAAATGATCTAATGGGCGTTTGGTCTAGTGGTATGATTCTCGTCTTAAGGTGCGAGAGGTCGCGAGTTCGATTCTTGCAATGCCCTACAACACTTTTTTAAACCTTTGCCCATAAAAATAATAAAGATTGATGGTTGGTTGGAGATAGAGTTTTGTATCAATTTGGCAATTGAGTTGATAATTTAGGAGTTACCAGTATTCTTAACATTGTTTGAAGATTGAGAGCTTTGGCTTCTTAATTGGGTGGACATGTTTTGTTCTTTTCTAGGGATTTTTGTAGAGTTGTGGTGGCATAACTTCTATTTCTGTGCAAGTTTATAGCTCTCTTTAGTCTGTGATCGTGCCCTAGATTTTAGATAATATAGGGATTAATGGTGGAGAATGTTTAATAAAGCAAGCTGAAATGATATTTATATGATTCAGTTGTTTGAAAGGCACTGATCTATCCAGGAAAAGAATGAGAAGTTTCTTATAAGAAATTTTATTGAACTTCTGAAGTATTTTTTTGTCACTGACAAGAAACAGTTTTCCATATACAGAAGTTCTAGTAGCGGTTTTGTCATTCATGCATATGTTTTTGCTTTGAATTATGATGTATTTTTTGGACACACTGTAACAAGAATTCCATCTGAGATCCACATGTTTCATCTGGGTTTTTCATGTTCTTTTTTTATTTGGTTCTTCCTCTCAAATATGCTCCTGAATTGATGGTTGTTCTACTGATGATTCAGAAAGAACAGCGTAAGGCTGAGAAGGAAAAGAGGAAGGAAAAGAAGAGGGAAAAGAAAAAAGAGAAAAAAGAAAAATCAGGGAGAAATGGACATGATAAGAAAAGCCACAGTCGTAGGGAAGAAGGGAGAAGTGCAATTCATAAATCTAGTGATTTTCAGAAGAAAAAAGAGTATGAAACTGAACAGTTGGAGAAAAGTGGCCTTTCTGAAGAACATGGCCCGCCTTCCTGCGTGCCAACTTGTGACTCATCTGACAGCACCCATAACAGCGGTAAAAGGAAAAGACACAGCTCGATCTCGATCTCAAAGGGCGGCCCTAATCAAAGTGAGTGTGTTTCTGTTATTATCCTCTTTAGATGATGTGTTGTTGGGCTTGTTAGCTTCTCACACATTGTACTAAAAAACTTTCTATGAATAATGAAAGGCACCATGCTTCGCATTCGGCTGCCTCTTGTAAAGCACAGGGATCCAGAAGAATTGCTCAGCAAAGAGCAGCTGTGTTCTACCTCAGGAGCAACTGAGATCACTGATTGTAAGATGGCTGATAATTGTCCCAACATAAAACAGGTGTGTTCCATATCTGGAAGAACAGAGGTTCAAGCTCAAGGTTGCTCTGAACCTGCACCAGCTGTTTCATCAGCTGCACTATTAAATCTCTGTAACAGTCCCTCTCGTTTATCAGATGTGCATTTGAGAGATATAATTGAGAACTGGGTCATCCCTCCAATTCAGATTGAGCGCACTGATTTGGATGACCAGAGTTGGCTTTTTGACATTCCATCCAAACGTGAACCTAAAAGATCTAAAGTCAGTGATGTAGCCACTTGTTACAACGGTAGTATGTGGCCTCCAAGAGCCTGTTATTTGCCTGAGGCCGATATGTATGCCTTACCATACACAGTGCCGTTCTGAAAGTTTTACCCCTTTATTCAGCTGCTATGGATGATGTGAAAGCAGTAAAATAGTGACTACGTTGCTTGACTGCTGGATACTGTGAACATACCTGATCAGATTGATCTGTTTTGGCATTCCCAGTGTATATGATGAAGAGATTCTCTTTGATGATTATACAATTAGCAGAAGATCTGTGTGATGTTCCTTGGTCCCTCTGCAATCCTCTAGTGTAAGAAACTGTTTTAGCATTTTTTTGCTGATCTTTGAGTTGATTAGCTGAGAAGTTGGAGAATGGAGATGGCTAGATGGGTAAAAGATGTGGGAGGGCATTATATGACTAACTTTCATTCATTCTTAAATAAAACTATAATTGATCGCAAAGCTGCCTGTGTATTATTTGTTGTTTCTTCTTTTTTGTTGCGAGAGAGCCTGGCCTTTTTAATGATTTGAGGTCGTACTAGCGGAATCGTAATCACTGTGGACTGTGGGGTTGCATGATAAATTAACACTAAACAATCTAAATAACCAAATCTTACTTGGCTACCTGAACTTGATGACAAAATACTACTTGAACATATGAGGTTCTGTATAAACCAAAACCATCGAATCATCACTAACACAGCTCTAATCGGTTGTGGGTTCGAAACACGGCAGCAGTTGATTATCAAGTGGAGAGGTTGTGGGTTCGAAACACGGCAGTAGTTGATCGTTGATGAATATCCATTGTCAACCCCTTCTTCTTTTTAAAAGAATTTTCGTTCAACTTCACTAATTAAATTTTCTCCACCTACAACTACCAAAACTCCTTTTAGCAATGACAACAACAGTACACCATCTGCTACTGTTTAATCGGTTGCAGACACTTGATTGTCTCCAGTTAATATTTGCTGCAATGGAGATGAAAATTCTTGAGAAAGTGCTTGAAGAATCTGGTGTAATTTTGGAGTTTTGATTAAAAATTGTTTAGGTTCATCTGCCTACACAATGCCTTTCTGAAATTCAACGCAAAATTGGTGTTTAAATAAAACACTAATTGTAAGAATTAACAATGACTGTAACACTAACCCAAAAGATCGATAAACCAAACTTCTGCTGCAAACTATATATAAGGCATTCCCATATACAAAAAGCAATTTCTTCAATGCGAAATGCTTTGGTACAATACGTGCGACATTCATTCTCAGCCACTTATTCTATTTTGACTTTTCTGCTTTGACTTGTAACATGTTGGACTAGTTAACTGTCCCTACACCAACCAGTTGTAGTAGCAGGTTTATGGGGTGGGTTCAGCCTTCAACCTGTTTTAACTTTTAGCCCATTTAGCAGTTCCAACCCCGAAATTTCGGGTTCCGCATTGATTTCGTACCAAAGCAGTTCGTATTGAAGAATGACTCCAAAAAGCAAATATATCAGTCATGAAAGACACTATCTGCGCCTCGTTGATTAGCATAC